GCTCTAATTAGAGCTGACCCTTTTATCCCAAAACTGTGACTAGGAATTTATTTGTATTACTATGAAAATGCAGAAAAATAATACTTCAGAATGCAGCATTCCAAAAGTCTCTTTCCTAACAACTACTCCAGAATAGACACAGCCTCTATGGTTTTTGTTTAATGGTCACCAACACCGATGCAGCCCTTAGGAAGTGCACTGCACGCTAGGTGTTTTCCACTCCATAACTCCTTTAATCCCCATCATACTCCTGTAAGGTGAGAACTGTCCTTGTTCCCATTTTCCAGATCAGGAAACTGAGACACGGAACAGTTCAGCAACTTGTCCAGGTGTCAGAGCCAAGTTAGGATTCCAACCCGTCGGGACGGCCCCAGAGCCTGTATTCTCAAGCAGGACACCAAAGGACCTCTGCTCCGTGTGTCTACTTGGGTGCTGGGAGAGCCAAGGAAAGGCAGGCAGGGAAGAGGAAGGAGATTCTCTCCCTATCCCTCAACACGCACATGCACACACAGCAAAGATTTCAGCTGGGCAGACATCACCAAACACATTCTTATTGGCTGCTTCTTCAAATAAACATTTTAAGTTTTTTCTGAAAGGGCAGCCTCTTCCTACAGAACCTGGAGAAGCAGGAGAGAGGGGAGGTCTGAGCTCTCGGCAGAACGCCGTCATGCAGGGACTTGGAAGGGCGAGGCTGGCAGGGCTGTCCCTGGAGGGCAGGGCAGAGGCCGGGCCTCCCCCCTCAGGGCCCAGCTGCTGTGCCCCCCACAAGTGCAGACGCCACACACACACACGAAGCCAGCACCCACCTTCCCCGAAACCGTCCCCAAAGCACTCTTCCTGAATGCTGACGCCTTCTTCAAAGTGAGAAAGCCAGGGTCCCCGCAGCTGTCCCTACCTGTGGAAATACATGTGCGTGGCCTATAAAAGTTCATTAACAACATGAACCGAATCTTCATTCATCCCTAAATCATTCCCCCCATTTTAGGCGTTTTGCCCTAAGCCACACAGTAACTGAGCTGGATGGATGGATGGAGAGAGAGGGGGAGAGAGAGGTAAAACTGGAATTCCCGCTTCCTGGGTCTGTGCGGGGGGTTCCGGGAGGCCCTGCGGCGGCATGGTCCTGCCACCGCACACAGGCCGCCCCAGACTCCCGCTGCACTGGCCGAGATAGCAACAAAGAGGGGAATAAAAAATTAATATGCTGTTGTTAGCACAGCAGTATCAGCAGGATTTCCCAAAATACAGTTTAATGCTCTGTTAATATGACCAAAGGGGCTAAGGAAAACTGAAGAAGAGCTGGAACGAGGGGAGCGCCAGACGAGAGGGCGCTGGGCCGCACAGCAGAAGCCAGGAGCCGGCGTTTCCAGCTGCAGGCTCCCAAGACAGCGGCGGAGGGAAGCTGCGTCTCTCCCCACGCCCCACGGTGCAAGCTACTTCTAACGGCACAGAGTAGGGAACTCTAGTCGAGTGGGGCTCTGGGGCTTTACAGCTGCAGTCCCCAACATGTTTGGCATCAGGGACTGGCTTTACAGAAGACTATTTCTCCAGGGACAGGGAGACAGGGCTCAGGCAGCGATGCGAGGGATGGGGCGCGCTGTCAACACAGACGAGCTTTCCTGGCGCACCGCCACTCTCCTCCCGCTGCGCGGGCCTGGTTCCGGCTGTGGCTGGGCCACTCTCCTCCTGCTGCGCGGGCCTGGTTCCGGCTGTGGCTGCGGGGAGGGCGGCGGTCCCGCTGGAGGTCGGGAGAGGCCGGTCCCGCAAGAGAGACGGACCCGGAGCTCAGACCTGCAACACGAGGGCTTCCGCAGCCAGCCGGGAACCACAGCAAACCCCGGGGCACTTGCTGCTTATTTAAAATACTAATTGGCAGTTTTGGAGGCTGACTGACTCTGATGTCTCCTGTGAGCAGACCCTGCTGCATGAACCTTCTCACTCCAAAAAAACAGACAAATTTCGAGGGAAAATAAATTGCATTTTTCATTTTTTGTATATAAAAAGAAGTCTAGGGACTAGATACAGACAATGAGAAAACCACTCATATAAACTCAAAGCTGTTTTCTTCAAGTCTTGTTTGGGGATCTAGAGAGCGCGCAGCGGCGGCAGCGGTGACGCTCCGCGGCGACGCGCGCACCTGTCCCGCAGGCGGCCGGCGGCGCAGCACCCTGCTCGGAGGGCACCGTAAACCGCACCTCCCAATGGCTCAACAGAGGGATCTGAACCGCTGGGCGACAGGCTGGATCACAGCCAGCCGTGGAATAAAAGGGTGGATTTTAACAACTGGACGACTGCGGTGCAGTCGCTTTATTTTTAAGGACAGCTCAGGACCCGCGAGGCCAGCCTTACTGGCCAAGGTTTCCCAGCAAGGTCTGCCGAGCCCGCTGGCGAGGGGCTGGCTGGAGGGGAGCCCTGGCCGCGCGGCCGGACGGGCACGCGTCCCCGCAGGGCTGCGGAAGGCCGGCCGGGCCGGGCTGGGCACCTGAAGGCCAGGGGGTTCCAAACCTCCTCGGGGCATTTACGGGCTGGGGACAATGGCTGTGAAGAAAACCAGACAGACTGCGCAGCGGTCTGGATTCCAAACCCTCCCTTTCGACACGTCTGTAAGGGACTGGGACGGGACTTTAAAAGCTCACTCTACGTCAACGGGCCCTCGATTGCCAGGGAAAGGAGGTTCCAGACTCAGGACAGAATTGCTATTTTTCTTCTGAATGCAAACATTTGATACAATACACAGTAAAAACGTAGATGAAGTAAAAGATTTCACCTAAAGAGGGGCCGAAAACGCAGGCATCTGTAGCAGACGCTGGGCCCAGGCTGCACGGCGGGCGGGACACACATTGCGCCACACAGCGGGCGCCGCGCGGGACACTGCGGGCGCCGTGCGGACACTGCGGGCACCATGGGGCGGACACGGAGGGCCCGTGGGGACACGGCGGACACGGAGGGCACCGTGGTGCGGACCCGGCGGGTGCCGCGGGGACACAGCGGCGCTTGAGAACTGGGCGAGGAAGGTGCCGTGGGATCGCTGAGCCCCTGACCGCGTCGGAGCCCCTGACCGCGTCCGTGCGCGGCGGCAATGCGGGGAAAGGCTGTCGTTAGCCATGCTCTCCCCAACCGCCTGGTGAGTGCTTCCCGCAGGCGCTCTGGCCGACCAGGTGACCTGAAGAACACCCTCTCACCAAAAAGGTGCACTTGCAAAATCGTATCGCCCACAGGAGCCTGAAAATGTCACAGGTAGAAATCTAGGTGTCCCCCTAAGTGAATCCCCTCCCTTCGCTTATAAAGCGGTGAAGACATTCTTCACGTGAGCAAGGACTGGGCGTTTGTCCCTCGCAGCCCTGCCCCTCACCTGCAAGCACCAGCTCATTCTTCTCGGCTATTTGGGTACTTAAAAAAAAAGTTTGAGAAGCACTGCCCCATAGCCCATAACTGGCCTGATTATTATCCGAAGGAGGAAGGAGACAAGGGGCCGACATGGGTGCCTGCCTCTCCGCACACACCCCAGCCCCGCAGGGCTGCGGTGCGCATGCGCAGGGACCCCGCTGCCTCCACCAGTGGTCAGTACTTTCTATCTGCCTCATACTCCGCTTTTCATCTGGAAATTCTTCCTCCCCTCGCCACGTTCCATCCAGCCCTCACTGCACGGATGGGACCCCACTCCTCTGCCAGGGCAGTGGGCACAGGCCCTAGCCAAAGAGATCCCTTCCAAAAGACTCCACTTAGTAGCACTAGAAGAAAGAGGGTCTCTCGTCTTCCCCTTGGGGTGGAGCCCTGGAGCCACAGCAGCCAGCTCTCCAGCCCAGCCCGCACGGGAGATGGGACCAAAGCCCAAAGGACGTCGGAGCTTCATCTGCGGCCAGCTTTATCCTTGGATTTTCTTACTATGTGAGCCAACAAACTCCATATTTTGCTTAAGCTAGTTGGGCACGGGAAAGAGATGTATAACACCCAAGTTTCCTCAAGAAACTAAATGCTTTTTTAAAAAATAGGGAAATAAAAAATTTGTATCCGATACCATTTCCTATTAAGACAAGAGTCCTCATTTTTATAGGAAATAACTCATCACAAATACACTCACAAAATAGTTACGTATGTGTTGCAGAAAATCATTCCAACTTGATACTTCAAATCTTATAAGTAAATGTTTTAATTATAAGGCTACAAGTTATCTTTTGTGGCTGGCCTTCCAATAAATTTGGAAGATCAAATAAAATATTTTTAATGAATTATCTCATGTCAGACAGGATATGATCACAGATTAAAAAATATAAAGAGCCTTAAAAGTGTGTCACAGTGCACTGCCCCATGATAAAGCCTCATAAAGGACAGAGTAGTGCCACTTTTTAAACACATATTCCATCATGACTAAAAAACTAATGAAAGCGAAAAAGAAAACCCGCACCCAGCAGCATGACTGGAAGGGGTCCTGCAGCATTGCGTGTCGGTCAGATCCAAGCTCAAAGCCTGAGCGCGACCTCCGCTGGAGTCCTGGCAGAGGACAGCCCTGCGCTGCAGGCTGCTTCCCGCCCAGACACCCTGCGACACAGCGGGCCAGCGGCTGCAATCAGGAGGTTAGCTCAGACCTCACGTTCTGGAGGCTTCTCAGACTGCGGTGAGAATTAGCAATGAAGTTATTCCTTTTCATAAGAAAGGCAAGGTTCTGTGTGCTTGGGCAACCCTGACAGCCCCCCGTTCAAAACCTGTGCTGGAGACACTGAAAATGAGTCCCTAAACAGACAGCCCGCAGACCTTTGGCCTTGGATGGCTTTGAAGCATGTCTGGACTGATCTGCTCACCAGGCGGGAGCTGGCTGCTCCCGGCGCACAGCCCCCACACACCACCCCTGACACCTCCATTCCTTGTGCGCCTGCCTCCCACGGCCAGCGCCAGACTGGGGGACAGGAACGGGGGCTTACTGGTTTGGGGACTTGGCGCAGATTCTAACAGAACGTGATAGGCTGCCTCACAAAGAAACATTTGTTAAACAGAGAAGAACCTACCCTGGATCTTAGGGTCTCAGTCGAGAACAGTTCAGAACTGCGAAGAGCCCGGTGCATGCGAAGGACTCCGTGGGCACCTATTTTTAATACAGAAGAAAGAGGGAGCTTGGTTTTTGTATAATAAAAACAGAACAAGAAAAGTTCTAACTGAGACAGATTTAGGGTTATTCCTCCATTTTTATGGTTTTTATTGGCATTTTAAAGTATCTCTGGGCCAAGTTGTTTGAGGTCACCATGGGGCAGACAGCAGAGGCTGGGCACTGGCGCGCCCCTCCCCTGGCCCTGCTGCTGAGGGACCATCAGGCCTTTTGCCATCTCTGCCATCCGGTGCCAGAAACCCCACTCTCGACATGGCATCTTCCACGCTGAGCTCCCCCCGCACTCAGGCTCCGTGCTCCGGTGACAAGTGGCGCAGAGAGGGAGGAGGGCGGGACACCAGCCTGTAGGCCAGTGCTCCCAGCACGCCCCAGCAGCCTCCGGGGCTGGGCTCCCAACAAAGGGCCTGCATGGCAGTGGACACGTGGGACCAGCAGGTGACCTTTGCTGAGGGGGGCCACACACCAGTGGCCTCGCAGGGCCAGAAGGAAGCACCATCCGTCCACAGGGAAGCACAGGACTCGCCCGTGGGGAGGGCACCTGCAGTGTGGTATCCCAATCCCGGCTGGGACTCCGAGGTGGCTCCGAGAAAGCAGCCCGGAAGGTGCAGTGAGGGCAAAGTTCTCTCCGCCGAGGTACCTGCCAGGCGGGTTTAACATCCAAGTTCATGGGCACTCCCTGCGCCCTGAGGTGGGCTCCTGCCTACCGGCCTCAATCTACCACCACTCTCCTCTCAGCCAGACCTGTGTTCTCCTGCTAAGTTTTCCAAGTCTGTAGCACTCCCTCGGCTTCCGAAATCCTTAGCTTTTCCCGTGCGTGTGTGTGTGTGTGTGTGTGTGTGTTCCCCCAGTAACCGAGCGGGCACCGACCGTGCAATCAAATGTGTTGCTCTACAATCCTTTTGAAATGTCCACACCACGCCTCTCTCACCAGCAGGAATTACTTTTACTTTCTCATGCTTTCATTTTTTCCTTTTTACTCTCCCAAAGCATCTAACACTGGTCCCCATGCAAAGTAGGTCTTCAATATCTGTTCACCAAGTTCCGTTTAAAATTTAATTTCTCGGGTTATTGATCATTTTCCCCAAATTGCTCACTTCATTCACAACCAAGATAATCACTGACCGGTGAAACTGACGTCCGCCCGTAACCCTGTGCTGGCCATTTGGGTGCCTGTTCGATTTCACTGCCCCTTGGATTCTTCCTTCCATCCCTGATGATAAGCCAGGGTGACTCCAGACCTACCCTCGGAAACCAAAAGACAAGCACAGATACCACTCCACAGTCCTGAGGAGTGGAGCAAGGGTGGACTACTTTAACTTTAAATACTAATACATTTAAAGAGACAATCTAAAAAATGACCCCTCACTTATGCACTAGATTGAGATGCTTGCAATGAATCTGTTTAAACCAACCATGTACATTTGGTGCTAGTTTTTAAAGTAAAAACCTTTTGAAGTGTAAATAGACTTAAGAATGAGAGCTTCACAATTATATTTTTGAATATGTGTAATATAATAAACCTTGAAGTATCAGAAGTTCTTTATCTCTGGATATCAGTAATTAGAGGAAAGACTTAGGGGACCATTTTCTCCTTCAATTTGCAACTTTCCCAAAGAGACTTTCAGTATAGTCAATGTTAATATAGGCTGCATAAATATTCATGGTCAAAAGGAAAAAGATATGTGTGTTTGGCTGAATAATAGACCCCAAAAAGATATCCATATTCTGATCCCTGGAACCTGTGGATGATATCACAGACTGTGCAGATGTGAAAAAGCTGAGGATTTTGAGATAAGGAAATTTTCCTGAATTATCTGGATGGGCTCCTTGTAGTCACCAGTGTCCTTACAGAAAAAAGGCAGAGGGAGATAGCTACAGACTGTCCTCACTCTTCTATAGGTTTAAACATTTTCAAAATTTAAAAAGTGGCAAGAAAAATTCCAACAAAAGAAAAATTTAAATGTCTCCAAATCTCATGCCATTAATTTTGCATTTAAACCAAATTTCTGCTAATTCCTACAAATGCTTGTTTGAAGATATGTGTGGTAGTAATGGTAATAGTGGCAGCAATAGCAGTAGCTATAAAATTACCAAAGAAATAGTACTTCACAGATCAGAAGTCCCTTTTAAATAATAACTAAATGGATTATAATCAGTTTAAAATAACGTGGCATGTTTACAGATCATAGTAGCTAAAGCTATCTTTAAAAGCAGTGAGTATATGCCAGGCACTGTGTTTAGTACTTTCATAAACTATTTCACTTATTCTCATAACCCTTATGACATAGGTCACTATTATCATTCCCATTTTATAGATGAGAAAATGAAGGCTTAAAATAATCACGCAGCTAGGAAATATCAGAGCTGCAATTTAAATTCAGGTAGTCTGGCCTACTAAAATGATGGAAAAAATAACTTTAGAAAAATGTGTAAATGTACACTATTAAAGAGAAAACCGAGTCACCAGAAAACAAAAGATTTTGACACACTACTGGAAGATGAATATAACCACAAAACACGCAACTATAAAAGAAAAATAGTGCAGAAAGCTATGAAAAATATAATGTGAAAACAAAAAATAGTTAATATAATTTTTTTGAAAGATGATTACCCAATAAAACCTTCAGTAGAAGAGTAAAAAGTTAAAGAAGTCTCTCAGAACACAGAGCAAAAGAATAATGACATGAAAAATCAAAGAAAAGATAAAAGGCTAGAGGCAAATCCAGGAAGACTAACATTTGATTAACAGAAGTTCTAAAAACCATAGAACAGTGGGGAAAAATAGGAGGAAATTATCAAAGAAATAATACAGGTTGAGTATCCCTTACTGGAAATGCTTGGGATGAGAAGTATTTCAGATTTCGGATTTTTTCAGATTTTGGAATAACTGCATCATACTTACTGGTTGAGCATCCTTGATCTGAAAATCCAAAATCAGAAACCCTCCAATGATAATTTCCTTTAAGCATCATGTCACTGTTCAAAAAGTTTCAGATCTTGGAGCATTTCTGATTTCAGATTAAGGATGCTCAATCTGTATCAATCTGTATGAGAAGACTTCCCTGCACTAAAGAGACAAGTGAGTTGTTAGACTTAAAGACTGTGCTGGGTTCCAATGTGTTCCCGCTCAGCTGCAAAGCCAGCTTTCTTTGCCCTCCTCTGTGATACTGGAGCTGGGCCTGGTAAATGTCTCTCCTTTGCCAGCTGACAAATGGTTAAGCTTTGTTGGTTGAGGGTACCAGGGTACCGCAGGGGCTGTGCAAAGGGATGGGCTTCTCTCCTACAGGGTATGCTCTCCCAGCCTTCTCCTGCGGCACTCGGCGGCATGTGGAATTCCCAGGGGCATCCACCCCAGTGGGTTTTGACAGTACCTTTGCAGGTGGTTTCCAGCAAGCCTGACAGGCACCCCAGCAGGTGGCTTCCCAGAAAAATTCAGCACAGCCAACCTGTGAGGTCTCCAGCCAGTTTCCCCAGCACCTACCATGTTTCCCCAAAAATAAGCCCTACCCATAAAATAAGCCCTAGCAGGATTTCTAAGCATTTGGGCAATATAAGCCATACCCTGAAAATAAGACCTAGTGATACGTGGCTATGCAGCATATCTGCACAACCCATGCATTTCGTCTTGGAGCCCTAAAGAACACGAGCAGCCCTTCTCATCTGCCCCATGAGAGCTCTATTGCTGGACAGAAGAGATTGGGGGCAATGGTTCTAAAGGAAATAGAGTCGCAAGAAATTCAGGATGGAATTTGGGGTTTGGAGAGTGATGATGAGGTTCCAGAAGAGGACAACTTAACTATATTTGAATAAATGTAGGTTGTTGTACCGTACTTAAAAAAAAACAAAAACACATCCCCTGAAAATAAGCCCTAGAGTGTCCTCTTGAGGAAAAATAAATATAAGGCCCTGTCTTCTTTTCGGAGAAACACGGTAGTAGGCTTCTCAGCAAGTCCTGCAGGCACCCAGCAGGTGGATGGCTTCCTAGTGGTTTCCTCAGCAGCTTATCGGTGGGGCTCTATATGGGCCGCAGGCAGCACCTGGCCCTGTGCTGCCACAGTGGGCCACAGAGCCATGCCTCTCTCCAAGGAGATCTGAATTTCAGCTTTGGGGGCAGCTGCTTACAAATTTCATCCTTTCTCAGACACAGAGGGAGGGGGTGCTCACAGCATGTGCCGCTGGTCTATTCTTTACAGTTTTCTTTTCCTCTTAATAGTTAATCCCCTGCTAACCTCTTAGTGGTTAATCCCCTGCTACCAATTAATAATTCTTTAAGCTTTCCCTGTTCAATTTTTTGTGTGCGTTTTGTCCCCTGAATAGACCCTGACTGATATACCCACTAACTTCCAAACTCAATAAATAGAAAAGACTCATACGCAGACACTCCGCAGTCAAATAACTGTATAACTGTATTAAAAAATATTGCTGAATACCAAGGAATAAGAGAAAGGGAGAAACTCTAGGAGCTTCCAAAAAGAAAAGAAGAGTCAACTAAAAAGATTTAAAAAAAAAATCAGACCATCTTGTGTCTTTTCAAATCAGCAACAATAGAGCAAGATTTCTGAAGTTTAAGAAAAAAATAAATTCACACCTATAAATCCAAACCAGTCACAGTACCCAGAGAAATATGCAAAGTAAGACTCACAAAATTTACCTCAATCTAAGGAAGTCATGTGAGACTCTATTTCACCAAAATGAGTGTAAAACACAAGAAAAGAGAAATGTAGCATACAAGACACAGTAGCACAAAGCCTAGAATTCAAGGGAAATTAACAGCAGCAGGCCTAGGAAGCGACGAGTACATCAACGAGCGGGCTCCACAAAGAACATCTTGAAGAAGAAAGGCTTTATTCCAAGCAACAGACAAATGAGTTATAAACTGGAGGACATTAAGGGTACTGGAAAGGAGGCAGGATTCTTCCCTCAACAAGGCAAGGAAAAAATAAAGTCAGAGCAATAAAAAACTCAAGGGAAAACAGATT